GCGAAGGAATATGCGAGCTCTGACCACCTTGTTTTCGTTATTGGACTCTCCTAACGCTCCTACTTATCTCACATCTCACTTCCAATATCTATGCAATTCCCATACTAAAACTTCGTTCCCAATTCAATCGTTTACTCAACTGTCCATCTCACAGATCCGATATCATTCACTCTTCGTTCTTTGTTAAGGCTATCCTTCTATGGAATGAGCTCCCCTTAGAAATCCGAATGTCCACCAGTAAATTAATTTTTAAGAAAAGGTTACGTGGCTATTTTTCGAAAGAACTGGATTCGTCGATTTGATATTTTTATCGTATATTTATTATATGTATGTATATAGATTATGTACGCATATTGATATATATGTATTTGTTATAGATTTTATGTATTATAAGTTTTTATGTAACTACTTGTTTGGAAAGAAATCTTTATTCTTTAGTTCCATTGTGCACCTTGCCACCATCGGTTTCCCCACAGCACGCTAAGGTTGACTGGGAGAGAATGCCTAAGGCATTAAGTCCGCCAATGTACTTTTTTGTGAATGAAGAATAAAATAAAATAAATAAATAAATAGATATTTAATATTTTTACAGCCAATTGCACAAACGTCTTAATATTTTCATTAGTTTATAGCAGGTATGGGCAACCTTGGACATGTGGGCCAAAGAACAATGGCCATTTGCCTAACATGCTTGGACTAGTAAAATCGTATAAAACGTAACTTGATGAAACATATGTTATTTTGTTTGCCTATGCAACTAGAACAAAGAAAGACATTAAATATATTTTTAAAAGCTGGGAGTATCGAGTAATTGTGTAATATGTTTTTGAGGTTATGTCGTATTATTTAAACTGTAGCATTTTGAGTTAGAGGTATTACAGTTGAAAAATGTAAAGCACACGTCAGATAATGCCTAATCGTAATCCTAGAAGTGCATACTTTCACATAATACTTCAAACTTGCTCCATATCTGATAAATTATTTTTATTGACTGTAAGAAATAAAATCATTTTTTGTGAACCAATGAACTTCAAAAACAATAATAGAATTTTTAAGATTGCTCTCAATAACTCTACTTTTCTATCTTACACTATAACTTATATAAAGTAGTAGTGAAAATACTAATTCCAAAAGGATATAGCAAAACAACATGTTGATTTTTCTTTTCTTTATTACAACTCTAATGAATACGGAATCCTGCAGGAGCAGCTATATTCTGTTCGTGTCTGGCCCATCCAAGATACCAAACTATGATCATCATATGAGCACAGCATCCCAGTGTACATCGACCAATTAGTACACATAATATTGTTTCCTCCCAATGTCTCGACTAAATTCTACCGATACGACTTTATTTATATTTAAGTCTAATTCTAATAAATCCAGAAAATCCGGTATTTCTCTCCAGACCTCAATTCTATACTTCCCATGGATCCTAGTTTGCTCCCCATAATACAGAAGATAATACAAAATCACCGCCAAAGTTACAAAACGGTCTGCGTAGAAACCGTCTACACATACTTGTCTAAAAAGAGAGGTCGCAATCGACTGCATACTGTAATATCGATTCTTATGAATAATCATTTGTTTTTAATTTAATTATAAATAAACTATTTTCCTCTAAGTAACATCTAATTATATTAGTAATCTAATCTAAGTTTTATAATTTTCACGGATTTATATGGTTCTTAAATAATATAAGATTTGTATCAAATTCGATTAGTCAGAAATAAAATCGATCTTGTTCTTTGAAAAGAGAGGGACTTCTCTAGGAATGACATTATTAATAAGATGCGTTCAAAAATAACATAATTTAAACTGCGTTCTAAAAAAATAAAGACATATTTTAGAGAGGATTATCTTTCTTTTCCCAGCTTTTAAAAATAAATTGTTGGTATATAATAATTACATTCAACTTATACTACATTTTGGTGATAGTTCCATCTTGGTACAAGAACTTTTTTTTCGTAGTCCATTTTGACCATTGTTCTTTTTGTGTGCAAATACGTTCGCGGGCTGCGTTTTAAAGTAGTATAGGTATTATAAAGTAGAAAATTTAAAATTTATGTTTACATTTTATGTGTTATACATTAATTTTTAACATGTGTAACAGGTATCTATGATCTTAATAATTGTATCTATGATATATTCCGTGCGAATTGAAATAAAAATTCATAATTAGATGTCTTGTCTGCTATTGATTTCCTATTGTCATTGAATGAATGAATGAATGAATGAACTTTATTGCCCATAAAAACATAAACATGGAAACAATTATTATTAGTAACATAGATGCAAAAGGCAGCCTTATAGCAATAAGGCCGCCTTTTGCATCTATGTTAGGGTAGCCTGGTAGAGATTGCTACCTTAGCAAAGGTAGCAATCTCTACCAGGCTACCTTTGACTAAAAGAAGCTATACCAATTAAAGAGACTGCGGGCAAGTGTATTAAAGAAAGATGAATCATTCTCCAATTATTATGTTAAATGAGTTGATGTGAAAAACACTCAAATAATTTTCCGAAAACATTCTCAGTTGAACGTCTACAATCGGACGCCAACAATCCAATAAAAGTTTCACTTGCATCGTGGTTTCTTAAAACCACACAATGATTTTTTTTAATTAGGTTTTTCAAAATGTCGCGGGTCGGATCAAATCATATAGCGGGCCGGTTGTTGCCCACAATGGGTTTAAAGCAACATTACTCATACAAATTTGACATTGCAATTGACCGAGAGTGTTCCCTATTATGATTAAAAATATAAATATCAATAAAAAGCATGAAATTCTGTAATCACTTAATTAATAATAGTAACCGTAACAATAACTTACAGAAAACCTCCGCCCAACTTCAATAGCAGTTTTTCGAGTAAGTCGCTTTTAAGATAGTGTTAGTAAACATTTTTCTATAAAGTTTGAAGGCGGATTAATTTTTTGAAAAAAAAATTTACTTCATTCACTTTTAAACTACCGCGCTGTATTATTAAATACTTATTATACCGGGTATTAGACGCGATTTTACACTGACATGTGCAGACATTTCGACCGGGTTGCACCGGTCGTGGTCACGACGAGACGAGCAGCAAGTTTACGCCTCTAAATCCGAGGACGAATCCTCATCTTCGGATGCAGAGGCTTCACGCTGCATGTGTTTATTTCAATTGTATACTTTTTATTTATTTGTTTATATAGACACACCAACACTTAATCTCAAGCTCCCACTCTGGCTTAATCCGGCACTATGCGTCGGTGATTCCCTGTTGATCGTCAAGACGAACCTCTGCAGAGGGTCTTGTTGGTCTTAGGTTGAATTTTGACACATCAATTAGGGCTCCAGTTACGCCGTAGAGCTGCTGATATTTTGCTCTGTGTACGTTTCAATGAGACTAAATACGTGATTTTGGTTTCACTCGTACACACGGCTGCAAGTCAGTTTACCACAATATGTATAATTTATCTAGTTGATTTTAAGGTCATAAAACAACACAAAAGTTAAGGTTTCAAATTAAGGAGTAATTTTACAGCTTTAAATGTAACTTAAAGTCTTTGTATTAATAAAAAGGGTACTCTTGACTTAAATGTAGCTAATTGTAATCTCATGATTGTGTTCTCTTTTTATTAAAGACTGAGATCTAAATATTTATTAAAACCTGTGTGCTTACCATTTTTTATATATGCGAGTTTTTATTTAATACGGCATAATAACTTACATTATTTTTCCCCAAAAATTGTTATTACGTTAAGGATTTTTTTTACGTTAATTTAATTGTCCCGCGATTCACGTGCAGTCACGTCCCGCTGATAGTAGTGACGTCACATTTCAATAAACATTAGTACCTACTGGTTGCATTCGCAAAAAGATGTTAACTTTTAGTTTATTTAAATGTAACACGTATTTCGGACCCAAAAAGATTATAGGTTTTAAAGTGGCTTTCAACGGAATTCCTATAAAAAATTATCCCTTCAGAAACATGTACAAAAATGCACAAGTCACACAACGCAATTCTTCTTCTCTAAACAGTTATGAAATCAACGTAAACCAAGTCGATTTATTCGGTATCTATCTTTCTGTGAGAGCAACTATCCAACTTTGTCAAAAAAATAGGTTTAAGAATACTTAACAAACGCACACATCCATAGGCAATGCCGGAGCCCCAACAATGGGGACATTAATGTGCGGGTGATGAAGACCTAAACAACAGAATTCGTTATTTTGTATTTATTACATTTTCCAAAAAAAAATCTTTATTTATTTATCAATAGAGGTTGTAAAAATACTTTGAGGTTCTTATGAATAATATGTGATACCAGGAGAAGCCTGTTTTCGGTTTAAATAATAGCTCCTGAAGGTCCGTCTAGTACATCGGCTAGAGCCTGCATGCTTACTCTCGAACGGAATGGCCATCCGTTACGTACTTTGGATTGGGTACACTAGCGCGAAGATATGCTAGTATATCCAATCAAGAGTACGAAACGAGTTCGAGAGTCAGCATGCTGTTCTTGAAATAAAGTAGTCAAACACACTATATGACTACCTACTTAAAGCACATAGACAATACTAACGTTTCTCGAGTATATTATTGGTATATAAGAAACGTATATTTAATTAATTAAATAATCTGTTTTTATCGACATGCACTAGTCATATACATAGATGTCACTACTGTAATCGCTTTAGTTAGACGCGTTCTGTTTTATCTCTCTCTCTTGTTTCAAGTTGGTAACCTATATGTGCTTTTGTACTCGGAATTTTATCATTTTTGAATAAATTGGACTGTCGTTTAATTCTACTGTTTGAGGACCCTCAACACTTATGTAATCGTTTTCCGATATAATAGACTATGGGTCGGTGCAAATCATATCGTGTGAACGTAGCTTTATAATTTTATTTGTTATTTATACAATGGTTCATACAACGGAGGGATTTTTTCTCATATTTGTTGTTAGGGAGATGTAAGATAACGATTATTTATTTTGGGGATAAATGAATTAGAACAAAAATAATTAATCACTTTTTTATTCGATGATGATAACAGACAACTTTAATATCTAACTATGAATAAATTAATACTTTTCATAATAGATTTTGGAGGTATTTTCTACGACTATATTGTTGAATCCAAGAGACGATTCAACAAATTGACTAAATGGATTTTAATTTATCCGCAATCACAACTAGAAGCGCAGTACCCAGGAAGAACAGACCGGATGGTAACACTGTTGTTGTTCGGTCGCTTTCTTCTGAAAAATATATACAAAAATGAAAGAAAAAATAGTACTCTTAAACGAGGAATATGTTCCACTGGTATGAATTAACATGACATTTGAAAGCCTATTCTATTTTTCCGAAAACGAAATATTATCTATTTACAGAATGCTAATAAGACTCCAAAGAAACGCATTTTGGATAATTTATGATGCAACGGAGTTAGAATCTCATACTGGTAAACAGATATACAAAATGACGATTTGAAATTTACGGAATTTCCAAATAATAAAATAGGTTCTAAAGTATAAGACCTTTAATTCGTATACATATCAATTATTGTTGTATAAGTAATTATAAAAAGGAAACATGAGCAAGTTTTAAATATTGTTTTAAGCATATGGTTTAAATAGTTCTGACATTGGGATATGATGTGGATGTAGCTGAAATGCATGTTTTTTTTCTTGATCATTTTGGCAAAACCCCAATAAATTATATTATTTTAAAGAATAATAATCACTTAAAAACACTTTTTTTATTAACATTTACAAATAAAACGAATAATATCATACTTGATGAAATTTGCATTTACAGTGCCAAATGGATATTGCACTTCTCATCAGCTTTATTACAGGGTATCTGGTACTGGCGATATTGTCTCGGGTTTTGTTGTCGTCCTACCTTCAGATTTTCATAATACAATAGCATAAGTTACTCAAATTTTGATCTGAGTAATGTATGTGATGTCTAATATTAATACCTGATTTTATTCCTTGTTCTACTTCTTTACTATCTTTAGCCCAACCCAAACTTCGGTTGAGCGCTTCTTCCCATCTGACGCGACGTATATCCCGCTCTACAAAGAACAAAAGAAGTCAATTTAGAATTCTTATTCAGTTTTATTCAAAATGAGGAAATCATTACAAAAGGTTGAACATTTCTTTTTATAATAATTAATATTAAAATACACTGCATATAATTTCATATATAGCACCTAAAATTTGGTTTTCCTGTCGTACAACAGAATATACGAGGATGGATTGAAAAGTTCGCGGCCTAACACATAAATACTTGAACTATTTTAATGTAACTGACCTCATTCGAATAGTTTACTCTCTGGTTGTCAAATTGTAAAATTCTATCGCAATAGCATTAACTGTATTTAAATTAGACTGAATTTTGTGAGCCTTTGTGCAGCATTTTTAAAGAATGGAGAAAATTGAGCAACGTGCTCGTCGCTCAACTCCATTGTGGTCATCAAATACCTGTTTAAAAAACTAACTCCAAGAGAGATTCACGAAGATATGTCAACAACATTGGGGGAATCTGCTCCGTCGTATACGACTGTGAAAAAGTGGGTTGCTGAATTTAAACGCGGACGAGAGAGTATTGAAGATGACCCTCGCTCTGGCCGGCCTATGACGTCTAAGACTGAAGAAAACATCGGGAAAATCTGTGATCTGATATTGACAGATCGGAGATTGACCATCAGGGAGATTGCAGACACTATTGGCATCTCGTATGAACGAACACAAAACATCATAGTCAATGAACTTGGATTTTCTAAGGTTTCTGCGCGGTGGGTACCCAGATTGCTTTCAGTCGAACAAAAACGAATACGCCTCACGATTTCTCGCGACTGTTTGGAAATGTTTGAGGCTGATCCACAAGATTTTTTATCCAGATTTGTAGCAATGGATGAAACTTGGGTACACCACTACACCCCAGAGTCAAAACAGCAATCCAAGCAGTAGAAAAAACGTGATGAACCGACTCCAAAAAAAGCCAAAACAATTTTGTCAGCTAGCAAGGTGATGGCGTCAGTTTTTTGGGATGCTAAGGGTGTCATCATGGTGGACTACCTTGCAAAAGGTGAAACTATAAACTCGGCTTATTACTGCACCCTCTTACGTCGCTTGCGCGAAACAATCACAGAGAAAAGTGATTGTTTCGCGATTACTCAGGATTACTCAGCAATAAAGTGTTGTTCTATCAGGATAATGAACGCGTTACACGTCTGTTGAATCTATGGCTCAAATTCGTGATTGTGGCTTCGAATTACTGCCCCATCCCGCCTATCCCCCTAATTAGACTTTCATTTATTCCCAAACCTAAAAAAACACCTTGGAGGTCAAAAATTTTCATCAAATGAGGAGGTCGAAGTTGCGGTGGGTGACTTTTTTGAAGGCCTTGAAGAAACATTTTTTATGACCGGCATACAGGCGTTAGAAACCAGATGGAAGAAGTGCATAGAGTTAAGTGGAGATTACGTGGAAAAATAAAATTACTTTTGCTTATATTTTATATTGTTTTCTTGCTGAGGCCGTGAACTTTTCAATCCACCCTCGTATATTGGTAAACATAAAATTAGGCCAAGTCATCTATCACACTGGGTATTGTAACTGTTTTAAAATAAAATAATTAGTTGAAATATATATATAATTTTTAAATAAAATAATGCCTTTTTAAATTAAATCAACTATTTATATATAGAAATACACAAGATTAAATTAAGAATCAACAATAAAATAGAACTTTTGTGGCCATATGTACACTTTTCGTTGCTCATTTTCTACGGATACCTTCAGCAGATATTGAGGGCATGAAAGTGTCAGCGGGTGGGAATGGAGTGGAAGCTGGCCACACGCGCATAGCTCGTCCAGCGACTATCGCTGCACCAAGCGCAGTACTTTCCATCATGAGCGGACGAATCTGAAATAATATAGAACAGGTTATATTTGACAATAAAAAAAAAACAAGTCTGTAGTCCTGTAATAGGGGACCGGACGACAATTTGATAAAAAAATAAATTGTGTGTGGTTAATGAAATTCAGAAAGTTTAAAGCGCTAAATATTTTTGCAATATTTGTAGTCTGTGTCTCACGTCAAACGAAACACCAATCAGAGTGCGTGACGTCATTTGTGGATAAAATTATCTAGGAAAAGCGGGGTGAACATTCAAAGTGCAAAATGATTTTAAGTAAGTTACAAAGGATCAGTCTTCTGTATTATTTATGAGTTTCAATATAAGTTTTAAGAAATTTCTTTTTTTTTTTTACTAAAAATCCCTTTTCTTTACCCCACAAATGACGTCACGTCCTCTGAATAGCCGTTAAATTTTAAACACAGGTTTGGGCGCATAATAAGGTTTATCTACATAAAATAATAATTTTTGTGGGAATAAGCACCCATACTCACTAATATAAAAGAGTTTTAGAAAGTTGTCCGACTCCCTATTAATTTTTTTCTTATCAATATTGAAGCCGTTCAATACAGGTATACTACTATTATTACCTGGCTCCACTGACACATGCACTGAAATGATAAATTGAATGAAGCTATATTTTCACCAAGCAGCATAAGGTACAAATGACTATCCTAAACGGATATTACTATTAACACTAAAAATTATTGGTCCTGTTCACCAAAAAAATCATATCTGGCTCATCTATTATTTATTTTTAAATTCATTAATTAAGTTAGTTACGGTTAAACTTGAGACAGGTTTATTAAGCGGAAAATAAACAAAATTAAATCTATTCATCCAGATTCTGGTGGCAAAATCGTACACCGCTGCCATTAAGATGCATTACTGTACTCACGACAGGTATACCGAGAAGGTCGGCTTGCATCTGCATGAGTGTAGAGTTCTGTGCCATTCCACCGTCAGCGAGCAGACGTCTCAGCGGGGCACAGCTCGCCTCCATCGCCGCCGCCACCGCCCACGTCTGCTGACATACAGCTTCTAGTGCCGCACGTACTATGTGCTCGCGACGAGTCATACCGCTTATACCGCACATCACTCTACACAAGGAAATACAGAAATTGGTATATTACGATTCGAACTTTAACTTAAAAATCAAAATTGTTTATTCAGTTAAGGCTAACAAAGCACTTGTGAAAGTGGAAAGCTACGCCGTCGGTTCGCAAAACTACGGCGCGAGACTTTGTACTGAGAAGAACCGGCAAGAAACTCACCAAGGGCTGCTTTTTTCTCCCTGTTTTATTTCACACAGAGAAGTCTTATTGAAATGTGACTTCATTAGAATATGAAGTCACATTCCATTACAATATTAGAAATAAGAGAGATATTTTCGATAAGTGATTAACATGCCGATTGCCAATTCATACATACTCATTAACAAATCAATAAACAATATTCATTATAAAAGAAAATGGGCTAAGTTAAGTAGTCCAGAGGAGACTCATCCCCACTGGCAGCACCCGTTCACGAGCATGGCGCATGAGCCAGCCATCGCTTCGCTTAACCATATTTTACAGAACGTAACGACCCGACATACACGACAAAGGAAGCTCACGCACGGTACAAGCAAGCTTATACATCATAAACATGTTGCCAAACTTGTAAAGTTGGTAAATTATGATGATGAATGTAATTTACATGCCTATTAATGTTCCCACTGCTTTCCTATGGATGGAATAGATTCAAAGCGAATAGGGTGATTGCACCATGACCAGGGTCCAGTGGAGATCGGTGAGAGTTCACGATTGTAGATTCAGCCGGGACTAAAGACTTAATGTGCGTTAAGAAATGAAACTCAAGAAAATAAATTTTTGGTCATCCATCCTATGAACGGTCCGTGCGAAAGTTGCTTAACAACCGTATCGCAGGCCGAGCACGCTAACCGAAGCGCCATAGAACTCTTCCTAAATGATATTATTTCCTACCAAATACCAAACTTAAAATACTAAATTAACAAATGGAATTAACATTTACTAGCAATCAAAACTTAAATAAAAATATGGTGCTCTTCAAATACTAGACGCGACGCAAATGGAAACTATTGAATATTTTACCAATTTCCGGTAAAATAATTTATATAAACTTAATTGTAGTACTAATAAATAAAAATAACAATAAACGAAAACAAACTATGGATATCTCGACTGTACCTAGAACGAAAGACAGGTTAATAATGAATTCATGAAAGTAATTAATACAAAAAAATTGAGAAAGGCGGGCGCGCTGGATTGTAGGTACACCTGTCGCGTCCTTCAATATTCCGCGAATACCGTCAATCGTGTTCTGTGCAACGTTTAACCCAATGTTCACAGAAGTCATGATCATGAAGTTTAAATTTTAAATGTTAATATATAAGAGGCAACTCCTCTTTAAAATCTTCTCATAGTTCAATTCGAGCCGTAAGAGTATATAAATGACTCATTAGAGCCTGTGCACACCGCGTTTTTGAAACGCTTCGTCCTTCGACGCGCGTTTGTAACGATATAGACGAGACTGTGTCGCAGCATGTACAAGCAGTGTCTTTCTCGTCTGTCACGCCACAAACGCGCGTCAACGGCGCGTTTAAAAAACCCAGTGTAGGGTCTTAGGATTATAATGAGGATACGTAATTTTTGCTCGGAATAGCTAAATAACTATTAGAGCACTTGGAAAAATAAATAATGGAAATAATTGACGTTTTGGTTTGTTAGGTTATAATAGCTGTAGTAAACGCTCATAGACAAATTGAAGTTATGACATTTGTGATTTTACGGAAATTCATATGTCACTATTTCTATGTCACAATAGAAATACTGTCGTATATTTAAAAATACTCAAAAAAAAGGGAAATACTGAATCACCTACCCCCTAGCATCTTTTCTCCAATAAGGTGAATACAAGCCGTTAAATGCAGGCACAAAACAAATGCTGCCTTCATCCTCGTCCGTGACTTCGGCAGCTTGATTTTCGCTTTCTTGAACATCATTTAATATTTCCAAACCATCTTGGAGCCATCGCAATGTATCACCTAAGTAAATATTACGTTTGTTGAAATTATTTGTTAAAATCTGTCATTTTCAAAGATAAGGTAAGTTAAATTTGAAGTTTCTAATTACCTGCAATGGCTACAGATCCTTCTAAAGCGTACACAGGAGGTGAATTTGGGCCAAGTTTATATGCTACAGTCGTTAATAAACCGCTGTCGGAATGTACTATCGAATCTCCTGGAATCAAACGAAAAACATACTATGTTATTCCAGTTGTAAGCTTTTTGTTTATACATCTAAAATTTCTACACTGTGTATATAGTGCACTTATCTAAATATATATAACTCATAGGTTACTGACTGACAGTGATCTATCAACGCACAGCTCAAACCACTGGACGGATCGGGCTGAAATTTGGCATACAGGTAGGCATCCGCTAAGAAAGGATTTTGATCAATTCTAATCCTAAAGGGATAAAATAGGGGATGAAAGTTTGTGTTGAATATAAGTCCTTAAATTGCGGTAAGTACTAAGTGAAAGTTGTCAAATATCTTAAAATGTTAATTAAGGGAACAAAAACACAAACCATCTTGAGTTGAGAGAGAGAGATCGGTAAAACAGAACGTCTAATTATAGACTTATACAGTAGCGCCATCTGTTAACAACTAGTGTATGTCGGTAAAAACAGATCCTTTAAATCAATTAATTAAAAATACATTTAAATATGCGTTTCTTATTTACCAGTTTGTATAAATCTTTGTCAATTTTAAAGCGATCGGGCTGAGACTGCATGCATAAAGCTACTATAACGTAGGCATCCCCTAAGAAAGGATTTTGATAAATTCCACTCCTAAGGGGATGAAATGGGGATGAAACTTTATTTCAGATTTTTTACACGATATATTGAATAAATATTCGTTAGAAATGCTGCCCAGAGTAACTTTACCACGCGGGCGAAGTCGCGGGCATAAGCTAGTCCTACATAAATAAAAAATGTATATTTTTACCTGTATTGTACAATAGGAAGCACCCTGTACCAAATGTACACTTTACTTGTCCAAAACTCATACAACCTTGTCCAACCAGTGCTGCCTGTTGATCTCCCAAGCACTAAAAATAAAGTAATGACACAATAAATTTTTATACATACTGTTAGACGAAAAATATCGACTATAATTTATCGATTGCAGTACGCAATCGATAAATAGTGATAGTCGGCATTGACCTATGTTGAGATTCGGACCAATATGGCAATAGATTTTTGGTTAATACATTTTTTTCAAAAGTATTGGAGTCTCTACATTGTAATTAAAAAGTATAACAATTGACTCGAACAATGTATGAACAAAGTCGCTGTCTTGTATGCTGAGACTTTAATGTATTTAATTACAAAATTGATTTTAATGTGGTTTTCACTATATACAGTGATCCAAGAGGTTTGGTAAACCATCCTATGTATAATACAGGAACATGCCGGCGAAGCCATTGGCGGAAAGTTATACCTGCATTATAACATTTTATTTAAATTAAATATATAAATTTGTGTTTCAACTTAAACAGTTAATGTATTTTTTAAGATCAACAGTTTCAACTGCACCCTACATGAGATTCAGACGATGCCCTTCTAGTAAATAATAGATAATAAAATAATTTTAAATAACAATTTCCGCGCGTGCCTTAACCCCTAAATTTAGGTAGGTAATTATGACCAGGATTCCTGGTGCCACTTACACCTGAGGGTATGCGAGCCCCTGCCTTTTAACCAGCTTAGTAATGTTACCACTGAGTAGATTCTTTTATCAGGGGGCGTTGCATACATCCTTTGCCGTACCGCTAGATGGTAGAGACAGTAACACATGTTTTTGGAGCATAAAAGTAGTGCATACTCAAGTCTGTAAGTTGGTTTGCCATTACTTCTGACAATAATTAGGATGTCAATAACTAACAAGGATGAGACAAGGACGTAAAGAAAATGAGAGATCTTATAATATAAAGAGTAAAACATTAGAATAACAAGACTCACCCCAGAAATAGGCACACCTAAAAGCGATCCTTTAGCAATGTACCCATAAATTTCAGCTGAACTTCTTATCTTTGGTAAAATTTTTATTGGTATATCAAAAAATCTCAACAATCCTTTATCCCACTGAAGACTTTTTAGTGACATTAATTGAGTTCGAGATGCATTTGTGACATCAGTAGCATGTATACCGCCATGAGAGCCACCGGTAAGGTTCTGAAAAATAAATAGATTTCAGCATGATGTTATTGTTAGCAAATATGGGCTTCAAAGTTAATAAATACATAGATTACATACATATACATTAATAAACAAAAGAAAAATAAAATTATGGCGGGCAAGAGCACATTCTGTTATTACTTTGATGATGTGAATCAATTATCCAGAGTTTCTCAACTTTTCTTGTGATGATGCTAAACTACCTGGACTATAAATAAATACTTTGATGCCCCCTGACAACTTACTTTTTCAATACATTTAATAAAAGTTTTTTATAATATTTTATTCAACCTTTTTCACTTAAAATAGTTTTTTAGGTGGCAATATCTCTGTAGAAAAGGTGTAGTGGTCAATTACTGGTACAAAGGAGAATGCCTTTTTTGTCAATTTTTTATTTAACTTTTCATTGTCATCAAGATTCAATCATAATTTTACCGAATTTTTGAGATATTCGGAAAAAAGTAATAAAAACCCGCCCGTCCTATTTGTTATTAATAATTTTTTGGTAATAGGATACCTGTGACGCAATATAATACGGATAAAGGCAATCGCCTTTGTCGTATACAAATCACCAGTAGAACCACTGGTCAACCACTAGACTAGAGCAATGTGAGTATAAATGTTTACAATAATATATTGATATTGATCTATATATTGACATATTTTAAAAGAATGAATATGTTAATAACCTTACCTTACCAATGGTTGACCAAATTCAAAACTACTGGAAATTCATAACAATATTATTAGAATATACATTATATTATGCAGTTAAACTACTAGCCATTCGAATGGCTAGTAGTTTAACTGCATAAAATACTAGAAATGTTATTGCTTTTAGTTATCATCACATGTTTTTATTGCTTTTAGTTATAATTTTAATTATATTATGTTAAAAAAAGACATTAAAAATTAGGTTTGAAGATTGAAATGGTATACTACTGGTTCCTGGTGTGGAACTGGCACACCCAACCTACTTATTTAAATCTTAAGCATAATTATACTTCAAAAATGATAGGAAAAAAGTCACTTTAACAAATAAACAATGTTAATTACCCATATCAACCAGGAATCAACAGTGCCTGCCATACATTCTCCAGTTCTTACAGCTTCCTTAACAGCTGTAACATTATCTAAAAGCCATTTAAATTTAACCGATGAAAAGTAAGTAGATAATGGAAGCCCACTTGTTTGGACAACTGCATTTACAGATTGTACTCCTCTTGTTTTTGTTAAATCATCAACTATTTTTGAAGTCCTTACATCTAACCAAACTGAAATAATTATTACAATATAGTATAATTGTAAAAGTTATAATTATATAGTATAATTCATCAGATGCAATCCTACCCCCTATATAAAAAAGCACTTTACTAAATATGCACTAAAAAATATTAGGATTCTCAAACAGGAGTCCCTTCTGACAAGGGAGTCCATGCTTTTTTCTGACTTACTACCATGTAGTTATGTCACTGAATTTTCATTCTTTTAATAATTTATTGATATGAGTTATAGTTATTTATGGTATTTCTACCATGTAGGTACTATATTTTTATAATCCCTAATACTGAGGTTGATAACAATGAAAGTATTTTTACAGTAGCATATGTCTTAACCAATGTACAATGAACCAATGAAAGCATGAAATTGGAGCCCCCTAACCTGTCTTACCTATGGCACTGTAGAGTGGTTGTCCTGTGACTGAATTCCAAACAATGGATGTTTCTCTTTGGTTTGTAATTCCAACTCCAACTAAATCTTCTGGATTTATATCTAATTTTCTTAAATTGTCGACTGTTACCTGGTGCAAAAGTAATAGAAATATATCATATGAGAAATTAAAAATAACATGAGACTAACAATAATTAAAAACTTGGACTATTATAAATTATATAATTTTTATTATAAAAATGAAATAGATAATTTGAGTATGAATATGAAGTGCAGATGAAAAAATATTAAATATGCAATTTAATAGATCGATTGTAGATACCTCAATACATTCAGTAACAGCAGCTAAAATTTCTAAAGCATCCTGTTCAACCCATCCGTCCCGTGGACTGAATCTCTTCAGCGGTAGTTGGTGGTAAGTGAGTACTTCAGAGGTGTTAGCAGCAAACACCTAGTTACCAAAGAGATGATAGTTAACGGCCGAATATTCTATCATAAACTTAACGTATAGATGTTATTATAATTTTAATAAAAATAGACTGAAGTTAAAACTGATTTATTTCAATTACCAGAAATTTGACGTTGGATGTTCCCTCATCAATTGCTCCAATAAGCGGGCCAAATCTGCCAAATTCACGCATACTAAATCGTATTACTACATCGTTCTTTAAAATATGCAATTATTTTTGAGTTGAAGATAACTAACCCATTTATGTTGATTTTTAGTTTGACTGCTGCCAAAGAGTAGTATAAACTGCTGCTGTCACTGACCATTGCTACCAAGCATACCAAGGCAATATCGAAATTGCTACATATTTATTATGATTGCTACCGATTGCTACCAACATTTACCATTATTATGCTAACTCTGCGCATTAGACAAATTTGGCCAATATATTGTAGTATATTGGGTTAATATTCGCTACAATGTTGGTTAGTGTGTAGTGAGAAATTATAATAATGGATTCACCATTATTATAATTTCTTAGGATAGAGATGCGGACTGCATATTAACGGTTAATTTTTGATGTTTATTATATGATGTTCAGAATAACAAATGCAAAAAATATAACAAATAATTTTTGATTCGGTGTATGTATATGTTATTTTATCTCATTTAGTATTTAGTTGTCCATGGCAGGAGGGAATGTTCAATTTAACCTTTTTTCAAAATAATAGTTATGTATGAAGTAATAATGTTTAGAGTTAAGATTCCTATTAAATGAACATAAATGCCATTTTAAATGAGCATAGATTCCTGTTAAATGAACATATACCAAACAAGCTTGAGTGTCTTCAGAATTTATGCATCCGATCTTTGACTATCGATCCTAATTTAATGGCTACTTATGAGGTGACAGTATAAGAGACTGTCACCTTCTTTAACATCTTTATTTTATTCTTATTAATCCATTCACACCTCATTATCTTTCGCTCTTCAAATCTGTTCCAAGATTTGGGATTTTCCCATAATTTATCCTTAGTAATCCCTCTTTATGCAATTGATTTCGTAGCCAAGTTATTTATTTCTTAAATGCTGTCGCGACAAATCCATACAGGTACAACAAATACAACTCACGTGAATGGTGCATTCAAATCCTTTACCCATATTAGTTACCATTAGCAAAAACTAAACATAATGTTGCCTAGTTGGTTCAACTAAATTATCCTAGTAATACTAATGTTGCTATGTTTGTTTGATATTATATTCAATTTGTAAATATACATACACCATACAGAGACAAAATTTACAGCTATAATATAACAAACAGTACAATATTATTCAGAAGCAATTTTAAGCCATCGGTTCCGCCTAAATCTGCAGTCGTTAACATCCAAAAATCTACACAGGGCCCGTATAAACTATATGTAAATCAAATCTGAGCGGATTATCAACGTCTCAGAAGCAGAACGAATCAGAAGCAGTGCCAGTGCACATTCCTAAAATAAAAAGCGATTTCGAATTTCGATATAAATTATCAAAAGGAGTTGGTATTTCGAATTCAATCATTCGTGATTTAGAGTAGATTAAGATAGAGACCTAAAATTGATTTTATGTGTGATATTACCTAAGAAAAAGGTTATTTTGTTCTGAATGATATAGGTATACGCTTTGCCTTATAAAATAATATAATAACCCAAAATTTGGCTGTAAGGCTTATTTCTTTCGCTCGTCCTATGGATGAAACTACTACTATAATACTACTCTCATTGTCTGTCTTTGAAAGTCCTTTGCCTACCCTGAAAGTGTGAAAGAATAAAAAAAATCATTGTCTGTCAGTGTCAATGTCAATATCTGTGGTCAATATTGTCATGCATGTCATATTCTTGGTATCTTGCTTTTTAAATGTTTAAAAATAAACTTTAATTATTAATTTTAAACTCAAATACTTCAACAAACATTTCTATAGATCGATAATGTTATCGGCAATCAAATTAGTAATATCTGAAAATGGAAAAATGTTAGAAACTATTACTAAAGATACTGGTACCCAGCCTAAACAGTTAATAAATTCTTTGGAAGATTTTCAGCAATCAGCAAATGCAATGCTCACCAAACTCATAGAAACACATGGAGAGTCAGGTGTTTATACATTTTTAACTATAATCATTGTTTTGTAAAGCTAAATTAGGTATTTTCTGTCTGTGTTTGGAAATATATAAATTTCGCCTTTACATATTTCACAATAAATTATTTTGTGCACACAAATTATAAAATTAACTCTTAACTGTCCCGGGAAAAGTATTGATTCTTAAACTTAGAGAAATTAATATATGGGTATATTTACTTATATAATACAATCATTATTCATCTGTGGGTGTCTGAAACAGTTTGAATTTTTTAATTTTGACATGAGGCAAAAATGTAAAGAATTCCTTTTATTTACAGTAGGTCTAAATAAATCGAATTCTATTTTGGAAAGTTTGAATCATTCTCAATTTATTTTAAAACCATTTTGTAGTTTTTATGTAATATCTTGTTTTACAGTGAATTTAACTGATGATATGGATGAAGATGATGATGAAGAAGATGCTGATGAACAGGTGAGCCCAAGAAAAAAAAAAAAATGACTACTTCTTAGAATTTGTAGATATAAATGTAGTTTTATAAGCCTTTGTAGTTAATGTTTACTGTTATTAATAAATAAAACTATTACACATTGTTTCATTTTATTTAATATTAATTCACTTTAAATTGGAACAATTAATAGTAGATATTTACAAAGTATTATATTTACAGATAATTTTTCTTTATTATTGCCAACATGTCTCAGTATTGTATAACAAGTAAATAATATTTATTAATTAATCATGAAGCAAAAACTGATTGTTTTGCTACTTAAAATGTATTTATAATCATACTTGACATTCATACCTTACAATGTATCTAAATTATGTTAATAAATAAGCGTCTACACATACTTAGAATAAAACATGACATATGGAATGTTTTACATCACTAGTTCTTTGATCACAAATGTACTTTCTTAATTACAACAATCCAAATTATAATAATAATAATTCAAAGTTCTAATTTCTAATTTTTGTTTGATTTCATAAGTGACATGCATGAAAAGTCTAGGGATTGGTTCATTTACTTATTAATAGTACTGACTTATCAAGTGATGCACAATTCTTTTAATGTTCATACCCCTGTTTTTGTGTATGCTATGGATGAGGATTGTGGTATACATGTAACAAACACATCAATTTCATATCCTTATATTAATTCCAAAGTGTTTTTAGGCATTCACAACATATTTTGGTCATTCCAAATTCAAATAGAATCTGCTTTCTATTCAATTCCATCAACTTTCAAATTTCTTGCATCTATTATTTCTATTACATTTATTAAGTAGGTATTCGATATTTGTTTCAGTTTTGTTGTTGACTTATTAATTATTATACCTACTTGTCTAACAAGTTTATTGTTTACATTTATTCTGTCATAAAAATGAATATAGGAAATTATCTTTTTACCTACTTTAAGTTCCACCTTGATGTGTTGAGTCATATCAGTATGTACCTACTGTTAACTTCAACAATTAGTAGATATATCAGTGATTCAATTATGGCAAAAATAAGATTTAGCAAAAAAGATATTACACATTTTCTCATAAGTTTTCAGAAATATTACATAGATCATATGTGTGCTAGTCACAGCATTAGATCTAATTCTGAGATTCCGTAGCAAAAAAAAATTGTTAGATGAGAATTTATTTTAAATATTTTTTATTCTCAAATTGTCAATAGTATTTACTTTTGCTACTTACACATATTTCAATGTTAGCTACGGAACCCAACATTTCACTGGAAATAATTGTTTGTGTACACAGTGGCACATCAGGTTATCACATAACGGCAATTTCTTGCAATCGATTTGGAACCTAAAATTTAAATAGGTTGAGGTTTAAAATATATTAAACAAATTTTCTAGATTAGCATTAAGGATCTAGGAAGGATCTAGGGGAAGCAGGTAGTGGCACTTGCCCCGGGCGCCAGTGTCAGAGGGGCAAAATCATCATTATATAACACCTACTTACAATTAGATTTTTTTTTATCTGAACATTAATAAATAAGAGAAAAAGTCAAACAGAGCAAAAATATGTTAATTTAAAATCTGGCTCATTCGAGAATCAAATCGAGCGCAGTTAAAAAAAACGTAGAATCAGACCTGATGCTGATTTGTGTGACTTATCGGAATTGCCGCTTTACCTGCAACCATAACGATTCGTTATCTTGAAACGGTCGTACCTACTTTTTGTAGTGTTAGTTTTTGAGTGTAGAGAACTATGTCATCATTACATGATTATTGTTTAAGGTCGAGTACGGTCTCCGCTTGATTGTAAATTAATGATAATGTGATGGAGACTGTCTTGTTCTATTTATCATTGTCTTGTTTATTCTTGGTATCATAATGTAACTATATATCTACATACCTACTTGGTCATACGTGTGATATTCGTTTGTGATAACTTCTGATTTACTATGTCTACTCAATTTAAAAATATGCGCTACGAATATTTAAATTACTATGATTCGTTAAATTATTTTATGGAAACACTGACTAGTTTATATTCGTTTTGTCGTCTGGAGGATCTGAATCGGAGTAGCATATATCACAACCGCTTATGCCGCAATCGCACATAGACGCTGGCCTTATTGAGTAACGGAATTTCTGAAAAAGCAAGATTAATACTTATTATATCTTATCGTTTTCTTATAAAAATAATGATATCGGAAAATATCTAAATAATATCGACGTAGTTAAAAGTACTAATCTGAGTAGGTATCAAATTAATAGGTGAATATTTTAATAAGTCATAGTGATTGTAACATACAGATTTAGGTCTGAATACTAAGGTTTAACCAGAATATTGGATAGGTTAAAAACTAGATTAGGTACTGATTTTGGCTAATTAAACCGAAATGTATGATTTGTCACGGTTTGCCACGGCCCACGACCAGCGTTCCCATTTCAAGGATGCGACCAGAGGCGGCTTAAAACCGCGAGGCGTGGGAGGTAGCCACGCCACGCCTCACGGTGCAAATGACTTCGCGCCTCAAAGGCATAATTTATCAAAAGTTTATAAATCAAAAAAATTGCAACGTACACGACGTAGCAATATTTTTTACCAACAAAAAAATAAAAAATGCGCATTATATGATGATTTTCTTAGATTAAACTTTTTTATTCAAAAATCTAACAACGTTGAATAAGATTTGGATTTCATGACAGTGTTACCAAATTAGTCGTTAATTTACCAAAAAGAATGTCAAAGTAGTAAAAGGAAACGAAACATAGTCATAATATCGCTGAGATGTCCTATCCTATGCCGACAAGATTGATTGTGAAATTTGCATTTGAAAAAATATTGTTACGACCCTAATTACGTTGTGCCATGTACTGATTCCTGTTAACACTTACTTCTCCTATAGTATTGCCAGGTGCTCTCACAACCGTGACAACTGCATATGCGGGGATGCATAAAAGAGACAGGGATGCTATCGTCCATCCTAGCACTTGCGCCCACGCAGGATACGAGTACTGCCGGTAGGTGGGAGGCGTGTAGTCTACTAAGCTAGCTACCCACAGCGCCAACAATAACGCTGGTGCTGCTATTAACCAGCAGAAGCGGAAGTAAAAGGAGGGATATTGACCTGTAAAAAATAATGTCAATGAATACATACTTGTAATCACGCTATAAAAGCTCTAGCTTCAAGACAAGTGTCTTGAAACAAAGTTAGGCGCTTATTTGATGCTACACTGATCCTGTTACCTCAAACAATGATTAGTGTATATAGTGCGAGGGCTTAAAGCTGATTCCTTCATTTGATTTTTAACATTCAACAAGAAGTTATCCTAATTATTACATAATCAATGTTTACGATCATATCTATTATATCTATTAGAGAAAAGTAATGCATCCTGCAATGTGAATGCAAAATTAAAAATTAATAATCATATAGGATACATTTTGGTCACACTCGATACATTTTTTTTCTGAATATCGTACATATAAGTAGATTACTTAAACAATATGTAAATGCGCTCACTGGCAGTGAAAATTAGTGATGGCAGTTTGTGAAATTCGACAGTCGTGTTAGTTTTCTGGTAGCTCAATTGGTAGAGCAGTCGCTTGGTTAGTGAAACCAGTAGGTAAAGAATATAATAAAAAAGTACAATCGTCACTGACGGATGTGGGGGTATATATGTGTGTTTATAAAGCGACAAAAAGTGATTATCTTCACTGCCCATCGTCATAATATGAACGGTTATTCACGGAGCTGAATATGAATTGCCTTGTTCAATACAGTCAGCAATCCGAGCGTCATTATTTTATTAAACCTCGTTTGTAAAACGTGCACATAACGTGCATATTCATATGTTAACAACATTTGTAAATACTAATATCATTGTAACTGCAATGAGATCTATTTGTATCACTTGCTCTTTGAATAAAATCGTTCTTGTCTATACTAATATTGTAAAGAGATAAACTTTGTTAGATTGTAGATAGTTATTTGGTCATCCTCGGAAATAGTGATCCGATCATGAAAAACTTTATCCTACGAAAAGCTACATCATACGCGAGTGACATAGGCTATAGGTAATTTACGCGGGCGGAATCGCGGGAAACAGATAGCACTTAATATAATAAGACCTCTATGTTATGGACTAACCTGTCATTTGTTTAATGTTGTTTGATAAACGTCCAATACCATAGAACCAAGCTATGGCAACTACTTCGAAAAAGGCGAGATATGTAATACTGAGTGAAGCAGCATAGTAGTCCATCAGTTGGAAGACATATATGCCACTATGCAGTATGTGAGGCAATCCGAAAAATAACGATACTACACAAACGCATAGTACTAACAACTCGTGATAAACCAGTCTCTTTCGTATCATTTCGGGAAAGCCATCTTGTATTGATGTCACTACAACTTCCACTATAGCAAACTGTAAATAGAAGTGAATATTATAACAAAAAATGGTCTTGTTAAAAAAAGTTTCAAAATAAATAATGACGCAATTTTTTACCTGACTATTTAAGCCCAGACACAAGAACATGAAGAAGAATAGAACAGCCCAGAGCTGTGACGCTGGCATCTTTGCAATAGCTTGTGGATATACCACAAATAGTAAACCCGGACCTAGTGACAAAATTAATTAATTTAGGTGTTATAGGTACAAATATAACATGTTGGTAAAAACAATGAAAACGGGAAGTTCAGTTAATTAAAACCTAAAGGAAATATAAAAAATCTTGATAATAATATAATTGCGAATAATACTCACTATCAGCGATAACATCCTTCACACTAGTGTTTTGTTCAATGGCGATGTTGCCAATAGTAGCAAAAGTGAATATTCCTACAATAAGACTGGTGACCGCGTTGATCAATGACACAGCCAATGTGTCGTGAAGGAAGTTGTTGTCGAATCGATTGTATGAGGCGAACATGATCATCGAGCCGAAAGCTACTCCGATAGAGTTAAAGATTTGTGAAGCGGCATTCACCCAAACCCGGGATTGTTTTAGCAGTTCCCAATCAGGCTTGAAAAAATATCTCAATCCAACGTTCGCCCCCTCTAGTGTTAATGATCGACCCAGAAACACGATTATCAATAAAAACGGCAGTGTTGTGGTGATGTAACGAACTTTTGCGGATGATTTGATGCTTTTCCATAGGGCGAAGTAGACCAGCACCCAAGCACAGACCAAGCAAGCTGCCAGTTCCCACCGCATTCCACCGGGAAATTCAATACCGGGGCTCACATTTAAAACTTTTTTTCTGGAAACAATGTAAAAGGTTATTCCTAATTAATCTTTTTATTCAATATTCAGTTTATATTAGGCGTTTATTATGTCATATACCTATCATCAAGTAAAAATCAAACCTTACTCGAAGAACTGTTCGGTAGGAGTTTGGGATCCGTTTGGCTTTGTGTGGTTATGGAACGGGACCCAGCAGTGGGCTGTGTTCCACCTATTCGAGCAGCTAGCCCACGGAACTTCAGACTTAAACGATGTAAAGAAATAGTATATTGCCCACGCTATGATTACTGCGTAGTAAGTAGACATTACGAAAGAGATCACTACACTTGCTAGACCAGCACCTATAAAGGAAAAAAATATTAATAATATTTTAACGTCATCTGTCTCTTGTTAATGAATGCTGAGTTAAAGTTGCTGTTTATTAAAATTTATTTTATGGCATGCATTAAGATTATTAGGTGACAGATTTGATTTATAAAAATATCACCTTTGAATAGTGGACATATTTGCGATAGCGCCCCAATAGGCCCATGCGCCGTATACTGTCCGATCGCCAATTCCATGAAGAGCATAGGCACACCACACACAATGAGTATTATGAAGTAGGGAATGAGGAATGCGCCTGGAACAATGCAAAAATATTTTACAATTGTGTGTTTATGTAAACTATGGGAAATACTAGAAAAGTCCGTGACAAATTCTTATGAAAATGTACCCATACGAAATTTTAAGAGATATATTTTTATTACTAGTATAGTTGGATTTTTGCTCACAAATGGTTATGAATGATCTAAAATTAACATTTGCTTATAATTAATTCAATGATGTTAGTAACTATACTACGAATTTGGTCCACACATTTAATCGGTTAGGTAGGTGTTATACTTTCAACACATTGGAACACATTAGATATCAATTGGTGAAAATGTACAGAAAAATCGTCGTTGAACTATGTAAAAAATGTTATCTCTATCGGATATTGTATCTATACATGCCGGATTGCTCTGCTTTTTGAATTTACATTTATACTTATTTACTTTATGGATATACCTAACTATACACAACACAAGTCGGTTTCTCGGTAGTGGAGGTTTGGCCTGTCTTATGTTTTTCTTTTACAGAAATGCGGCCTTATAATGCAATTTGTCTAAATAAGTAATAATATTTATAACATTCTACATATTATTACTTAATTAGATATTTCGAAGAGCTCGATGGCGTAGTGATTAGTGCGTTTGGTATACGATATAGTTTTTAAGCAACCTTAGTAAAAACCGGTCATAGGATGGGTGACTAAAAATTTATTATCTCGAGCTCCTCCGTGCTTGGAAAGCACGTTAAACCGTTGGTTGGTTGGTCCCGGATGTGTAAACTGCACTTGGTCCGCTGAGTGAGTCATGGCCCGTTCTTTCTGTTCGATTTGATCTGATTCCATCCACGCCTTAGACCCAGGAGTGGGAACATTAATTGGCTTGTGATGATGATGAAATACGTCGTAATTTTAATGTTATCTTTGAACCATTCCCATATTTTTTAAAATAAACCGACGATAATTAAGAAAGGATAGACGAGATAAATAATATAATACATAACAAAAACCAATAGCTGGAAAAGAAAACGTTAAATTGAGAAGTGTTGACTAATTTTGGTCGAATAATGGTAGCAATTCTGTTTTAAAAAGTAGACTTTAAAAGTTGGTTCTGTCAAATTGCGTAATGAAAATAAGAAGGATAACGAAAATATTAAGAAAGTAAACTTATTTTATCCAAATCAAAGTTAGGTTTTTTAGTTCAGTGGTACAGCAGAACTGGCGTCAATGGTTTCAGTAGTGTAGCATGCTTTATAGAGGCCCTGTATCAAAATTACTTAAGGGGCCCAAATGAAAAGTTTTCTTTTACACACGTTTTGTCGTTTAATAATAAGACGGTTGGCGTCTAATTTCGTCTTGTTATAAATTAAAGTTTATTTGGATTTAATTCTTTGTTCATAATCAACTTGAAATTATTAATATTGTAAATAATAAATTATTATAATTGTTATTTAGACAACTAAGTACATAATTCTAATAGCACAAAAAATTATGTCAGCTGCGTCTATCATGTTATTTCTATATCTAATAGGGGTTTTTTGTACCATATCTAAATATCACCTAGCTGTTCTAGTTTTCTTGTGTACATTAAGATAAGGATCTATGTGTCGTCATGCTTATCGTCGTTCACGTCCTTGATGGCATTGAATGAATTGACCCACAGGAACTGGTAATTAACCTACCCATTTGTGAAAAGCATAATTTGTACCTATTCATTGTTTTCCTGTGATCTTGGAAGACGTAGGCGATATGTTATAAATGTGTAGCATACACCTTTGTAGCCATTAAGCGGTGTCTGAAAATAAATTCATCCGTTTTCCATGAGGGCCGGAACACCTAGGCAGACCTAGGCTAGGCTTTGGTCCTTTGTTATAATTACCAAAGTAACTTCTTACGCCTTAGCCAGGGAGTCTCTATTTATTCTTTAGAGTAGGTATTTAATCGAACCAAAATTATGTATTCAGTCTACGCTATTGCTCGTAACTCTATGCCATCGGTTCGTAAATCCACAGTGTGAGACCTTGTACCGAGAAGAATCGCAAGAAACTTGGCAAGGGTTTTTTTACACGACATTTGGTCATCGCTATTATAATATAGCTATCGCTTTTCTGTCTATCGTTGTTACAACACAAAACGTCCAGCTAAAATAAGTTCTGAATAGGGTGGTTGAAATTCCATCCATTATTTTAATAATAAAAAAGATTTTGAATTTTAGCAAGTATCATTTTATGATAACATTGAAAAAGAAAAACACAAGTGGTGGTCAAAATAAATTCGCAACGACTTTTTAATGTATGTAGGTAATCATTTATGGTGTCAAGTCAATCAAGTCCTTTTTTTCGTCATCGAGGCGGGTCAGTATTGCACATTTGTGTGACGGACGTATTGTTAGTAATTTGTAGTCCATTAATAATTAATTTATGTTTGTATATAAAAGTAATAGTACGTAGAAACCAAAATTAAAATATAATGTCGATTAACATTTTTAGTGTGACAGTGTGAGCTAAGTTCGTCTTTAGATGAGTCGATTGCAACTATGATTATTTATTAATACTAAATGCGTAAACTAAAGATAGGTTTTAGCCAAATGAGTGTTCGTTACAAAAATATTAAAAAATATATTTTAAGTTTTTCTTAGTTGAAATCCAACTAACTATAACTGCAGGTTGAAGGAATTATTGATTTACATATATTTTTTGTATAACAGACTTTTGGTATAACTACTACATAAGCATTTATAAGAGTGTTCTCTTATCGAGTTAGATATGCATTGACAACGTTTTGGTTTAATTTGAATGTTTCATTTGCGCTTATTGTAGAGTTATATTGGTTTATATTTGTGCTTAAGTGTAAACTAGCCCACTTAGTACAGGTGACACAAACATGCGTCCGCCGGTCGGTCAGTCACGCTCTGTTGTGTAAATAGCATTTTAAGATTAGTTCACTTGACGAGATTGGTGAAGATTTATAAGATTATTTTATTGTACTGTAGATTTGATAAAATCGCGGAAATTTTTATGATGGATGGATATTTATCATGCTTTATTACCTAACAGATGAAACAATGGAGGTTAAAAAGAATGTTTGATTGAGAAAAATCGCATGAATATATATTAGGGAATACTGTAGGTACAAATTATATGAAAAGTACTACATACCTATTTCCAGAGATTGTTTGTTACTATGAAATTTAAATAAATATGTTTAGTTACGATGAAATTAAAGTAAAAGTTTTATATCGTACACAAATATGAGGTAGTCCATCTAAATAAAAAAGTATAATTTACATTAATTTATGATTTTTTAGATCAGTTTAATTGTCATTTTTTATTACACGTAATAAAATAGTGGCGACATATTTTTATTTTATTTTGTCTTTATATTTAGGTATGCTTGTTTAACAAACAATAGGTAAATCTGTAATAAAATACGGAACCCAAAGCATCGAAGTGTAATCTAACGAAGTGCTTTGTAGCGTATAAAAAATATCAAGGCAAATCGTGTGCGTTTAATTATATTTCAATTTGTGGATCACAGGACATATTATAAAGTAAATATAGATTGTCACGACGCGACAAGCACGATCTTTTTTGTTGTGTTAATGACTTCATTTGCAATAATTAGGAACTTATAACCTATAGCACTATGTATCTCGAACAAACGAATATGTGCGAAAAATGTCGTAATTTTTTAAATCAACATGGGAGTGTTATCTGGTTACCGGGAAACGGCCGTCATTTTTTTTTCACAGTATATAGGTGCACCTTTTTATAACTAACCAATACTGTACGTGGATGGATTTGTCAAACACATTCGGAGAACCATAGTTGTGTTTTAAGAATTGAATTCTGACTTGTGTTAAAAAGTAGGTTGGTATTTTAGAAGATGGCATCGTGCCGAGTTTAAAAATGAATATTTTTGTCACCAAATACCTACACCGTTTAACATTTATCCAAATATTGGATAACTAATTCAAATGAAAAGAGACTAAATATAGGTCTAATTCCATTAATAATGAAAGTAATCATTGAAACGAATATATTATAAAAGAAAGAATGATTTTTACCATGTTTTATGAATGAAAAAATGAGCCCTAAAAATATCGTCTGAAAGAACAAAATCGTCTTAACTTAATTATAGTTATTAAAATTAATTGTAGTCGCAAATAATCTATACTAATATTATAAAGCTGAAGAGTTTGTTTGTTTGAACGCGCTAATCTCAGGAACTACCTACTGGTTCGAATTGATTTTTTTTTTGTGTTGAATAGACCGTTTATCGAGGAAGGCTTTAGGTTATCTAGTTTAGTCTATTCTTATAATATTTTTTCTTATAATTGTGCACCTGACCACGTATTCTTCTCCACATTATCTTAAGGTTGACTGGCAGAAAATGCCGCAGGCATTAAGTTCGCCTATGTACATTTGTGCATAAAGTATAAATAAATAAATAAACAACACGCTGCAACTATTACGAGCGAAGAGATAATGGAAAACGCGGACGAAGTCGCTAGAGGCCACTAGTAAACTATATTTTCGTCTAAACGTGATTAGAATATCTTGAAAGCTAGTTAAGTATTTATTTCATTCTCCTATTATTTTTACTTTTTTTTTCCTATAGAAAGCATCTCAATAAACCAGCGACGGGAAAAAATCTAAATTCATACTAAAATGTATAAATACATACCTCCGCCACTTTTATAGCAAAGATAGGGGAATCTCCACACGTTGCCGAGACCGACCGAGTAGCCCACACAAGCCAGCACGAACTGTATTTTATTCGCCCAAAACGGGCGCCGCGGCTTGAGATGGTGGTCTTCCACGTCTGCTTCTTCTTCTTCGCAACTCTCATGCGAAGCTGTGTCTTCATCTGGAGGTCTGCGAATAAACATCATATTATTCACACACTATAAAGTCAATTAGTTCTATAATAGCTGTTTAGCTGTGACTTCGCCTATTTAAATTATATCATATGTGTACGCGTGTCGTGTAGTTTCCTGTAGGTGAAAGAATGTTTAATATTGGTCCAGTACTTTCGGAGCTTGTTCAATGCAAGCAAACAAGATAATCAAATCTTTCCTATTTATAATATTACTTAGTATTGATTGGACCCTTGATTTACCGATGTCCCGTGAGTAAAATTATTAATCTGGAAATTATAAAAAATATAGCTTACGACTTATAATTATATCTCCAAAAAGACTCCATGATTATATGTGATTAATTTTTAAATGTGTTACCGAGTCCTTGGATTGTGTTATTTCAATTCGAAGTTGGAACGCTAGAAACAACACTTATTATTTAACGTCTGTGACGTTACGCTAACTATACTCTATAAAATATCAAGCGATGCCCCTAATATATGTTTGTGTGACAAAGCTTTAAAGTGATGCAGATAATGATGACGTCCATAAAAAGAAATGACAAGTTGTTGACAAAAGTATCCGAGTTACTAGATCCTCACCGGGATGTGAAGATAACGTATCTGTTGTAAGGGTAAATAAAATTAATCGTGTATGTGGAATATTTATGCAAAATTATGACCATTTTTTTTTCCTGTGATTTGAAGTCACTCGACAATATCGCACGTATGGTATGTAGTTTTCGTAGTTATCCAGTTGGTTACAACTGTTATAGACAGTGTGATGATTTTCGAAGATCCTGCTAATATTTTAAATGCGAAAGTTTGTTAGGTTGGATGTATGAATGTTATTCTTTCATGAAAAAACTACTAGACCGTTTTTGATGAAATTTGGTATATGGATATATGTATCTGAGCGTGAATTAACATATGGGCTACTCTTTATCTCACTTAACAGTTCTCTAGAAACCACGCGAGCGTAGCCGCTGATGAAAGCTAGTATATAATAATTTAACCTAACTAACTAACTTTAAACCCTTAAAAATATATTTATTAAAATTAAAATATTATGTGTGACAATCTTTTGTATCGATAAACATTGGTAAAATAGATATACTTTATTAATAATATTTTATTTTTTGCATATTATTTTCATTGTTTGAAACTTTTTAGCACATCATAAACTATGCTACTTTTATAATATATTATTTTGTTTACATAAGAATGTTTGTTGAAAATGTCATATGATACACGTGGGTATTATCCGTTATCTATGCTTCATTTACCTACTCGCCTAAAATTCTCACCTTCGTCTCGAGTTGCAATCCGACCTCGAATGTAGTAATGACCAATATGATAGCGCACTTGTATAACGTAAACACATCACAATTTTGAAACTATGAACAAACTAATTACTACCTTTACTAATCAGAATTTTTTAGCCCTTGTTTAGTTTCATCTAAATAGCGGCTACTAATTTTTACTTAATAATAGCATGTCCATAGTATCCCAACGACTTGCTTTGCCGTTGTATTACTGTACCTGAAGTCTTATATTATTAGTGCGATGTCTTCCTCACAAATCAACGACGACAGATATATCTATTATTTTGTGATTTAGTAACAAGAAAGGTGTCATAAAGGGTTTGTAATTCAAGTGCCATTGACTTTCCTTAATTATGTTAACATTAGCAGAATTACAGGACGCTATATCCTGGGTTGTCTGTGTGTCCAGCTGTCTGATATACAATAGATTAGGTTATATAAAACTGTCATGCTATAAACTTCAACGCATTAAAATTAAAATTTAAAATCGACTACTGGAATTTTAAATACATATTTTGATAACCTAGCGTGCGTACAATACACCTTCTTATCAAGTAAACTGATTTGTTTCTTTTCCACGCTAATTGCTAACGGTATTTGTAAACATAAATAAAAATAAGTTTGTTTCATGGATTGATTTCTTTCATTAAAGTGTTTGCAAGAGCAACTCAAGTTTGGCTGGTGTATGATATTTACGTATTTAAAATTGCTCAGAGCTAACTGTAACCTTGATAAAGATCTTCCTACTTGCTTGGATTAAAGATGAATGACCAAAATGATAGTCAACATTAGTGTAACATCATATACAATACAGTCTGAATAATAGTTTGGTGAATTATTTTTCTTAAAAAAATAAAGCCAAAAAGATCCAATAAAATCTAAATCTAGTCGTATTCTTTTTATGAGGTGCGGTCTTCAGTGCAAAGTTTTAAATTGTTTTATTTTTAAAATACCTCATTTGACACACGGAAAATAAGATACAAGTATGTATATCTAAATTAAAAAGTTCTATTATTATTCTAGATGATTTTTAATGTTTCTCTTTGTTCGAACCTTATCCGAAGTAATACGAATATTTAGGAAAAAATCAAAGAATTTCGTTTAGTCTTTTGCATATTGGGGGAAATAATTATGAGAGTTCAGTGGTCTATCTTATAAATTAATATATACTATAGAGCAAGATATGTGATAAATAATAATTTGTTATAAATGTATGAAATAAAATCCATTAAGACACTATTATCTATAATAATATTATAAAGAGGAAAGATTTGATTATTTGTTTGTTTACTCACTGATTTGAAGAATTATTTTAACTACGGGAATCTTCTTCATACCCGGATGACGCGAGCGTTGCCGCGGAAAAACGGCTAGTAAATTATGATAATATAATCAAGCTATTTCGTGACATATGTCTATAATATTGTTTGTTATCAACACCGTATGCAGGTGTTAGTGTGATTTAAAAAAACGTTCTTTATTTGTCACCGTATAAATGCGTAAACGTTTTTAAAATCATTATCAACAAGTACAAGGCAGATAATAGAGCTGGCGGACGATCAATCGTATCCATGTCGTGTATAGAGTAGGGCTGATAATTTTTAGTATAGGTGAGTTATAAATTCTATCCATCCGTATTCTGTACCGATTAACATTACATCACTTTAATGAATTTTCAGTTTGATTATTTTATTTTGAAACGTCTAAAATGGCAATGTTTAATTATAACGTGCCTTTAACTGTAAATGCGTATTTTCTTATTATCAAAGACATTAACGATGACAATAAGAAAGGACAATGCTAAAAATATATGGGAAGAAATACCATGCCCCGCGCAAACGAAATGTTACTCAAATGAATAAATGAGTAAGTAAATACTGCATAGGGGGCATTATCAAATTTTATGGCTAAATCTGTGATATATCTATTCGAATTTTACTGTGGTCAGTATTCAATGTACTAACAAAAAGCATTAACAGTTAGATAACAAAATATTACAAAACAAAACATCTTAGTTATTCTAAATGACAAGATTAACATTAAAATAACGAAAGTTAAAGAAAAACAAAACTATAAGCCATAGTTTTGTTGTCATTTTAATATTTTATCGATTTTTAATGTCTATAGCTTTCCGATTCGATTTTGAGTCCGATTATGAGTTCTTGATAAAAATTAAGCTAATCAGTTCAAATATATCAATGACCAGATTCTCACACTAGCTCTACTTATTTATACCTATAATATGAGTAAAATTTCGTTTCTACTTATTTTAATGTACTTATGTTAATTGATTTATTGAGATCATGTTTTTTTTTTTAATTTCTGTAATTGTAAAGTGTAGTTTTGTCGGATTTTCTTTACTTCTGGGATTTCTTTTTAATTTAAATATTCTATTTCGATATCGATGTTAGCAATATATCATAGTTTGCAACCCTATTTTTAAGATAAAGGTGATCGTTACGTTGCAAGCTTATCAGCTTCTTGAAGGTCAATCAAGATTCCCTCTAATCCTAGTCTTATGGAATACATTGTGTCTAATTTTGTAGCTTGATCGAAAAAAATGAAATTATGTGATAAAGTTTGTTTTCTTTGAAATAATGACAATCACATTAGCATATAATTAGAAACAAATCTTCCGCTTACGCTATTACATTATGTGATCTGAGAGTTATGTAAGAGATAGAGTATATTGTAGTTATAATTTAAAAAAAATCACTACCGGTATCGATATCCGAACTAATACTATTTTGCGTCTATAAATCGCTTGCTCATTTTTCTACCGTGTCGTTTGTGGTTCAGTTATACCTAATTATGTCCAAAATTCACTCAACTATGTTATTAAGTGTAAAAAAGTACTTATTGTGTGAATGAGTTCTATCAACGAAATGAACACTTTCGTCATATAATTTATTATTATGAAAAACGGCTGTTATTTCGTGTCTTCGCCTGCATAAATAATAGTTTGTCACCCACGTATAATGTTGCACATCTTAGGTGAAATTATTTTGAAAACAGGTCAAGTAATTTCGGAGCTTACTCAATGCGAAATATTTTTTTTTTCTGTTTATAATATTAGATATATGGAAAATAGATGGAAAAGTACTCTATATGATTAACTTTTATACCTATGCTGCTCTATATGTGAAGTAATAATACTAAACTTCTTGGGTTATAAAAACACACTGTAAATATATGTATTTATGAATCATTCTTTAATAACAGATTTTTATACATAATGTATATGAGTAGGTATATTTGTTTTATATTGGTGTTACCTTTAGGTACGCTCTTTATTTTAATTAAAAAAATATTAAAATAAAATAACAAACTTCGTCTACGCTTGAAGTCTATGTTTTTATATTATTTTTTAATGAGGCCTACATCAAAAAGATCCGTAAGTATCTGTAAAAGTACTATTTCTGTTCGACAGAATTATCACAATTTACTTTTGGTAGTTTTATCAATATATAAATTAAAAGTGTAATCAGACATATAAATTTAGAGCAATCATTTAAGTCAATTCGTTAAGCTTCTAAAACTATCCACCTGATGAGATAACTTGCATTGAAAATGCAAGCCAGATGCATTGATAATTGAATTAACTAGACTTTTATATAAAAAGGCGAATAATGTGATACCAGTAACTATTAACCGGTCTGTATATTACCAACAAAATCAAAGATATTAGAAAA